AATGATGCTAAAGGAAAGATGAAAATAGAATGTAGAACACTAATCCCAAAATAAAATAAAGAGAAAATAAAATGACACTTTAAAAAAAAGGTAAATGGTAGTAGTAATAATACTGGTTAAAAATAAAAATGTAGTTATTAAAAAGGTAAAATCATGTGATGAAAAAAGAAAAAAAAAATTAGTTTCTTAAGTAGAAGGTGAAAAAAATAAAAATGTGTAGTAGTGAAGGTCCTTCACTTCCTCTACTCTTCTGTTTAGCACGCCTTAGTCCTGTCAGGTATTCAGGAGAGTGTTGAAGTTCCCCGCGATACACTGTTCCTCCGTGTTGTAAACCACAGTCCTGATTTTAAAGCAGGCAGTATTTCTTTGTTTCCCAGACTGCCTTTATTTGTGTTTACAGAAGAGTCAGTTTGTGGTTCAGCCCCTGGGTGGCAGTGTTTCTGGATTGACCTCCTGGGCTATAAGTCCTCTCTAGCCAGTATTTAGGTTTTGTTTTCCCTTTCGCACTTAATACTGGTTTGGGAGAGTCGACTGCCCCAGAGCTGGTTCCTTGATCATTACTCCCCGCTCTGATTCCCAGGTTCCACAAAAACAACTTTACCCTGCAGTCTCTGTGAGTGACCCCAATTGGGCGATCCTGTGTATTGGGTTCAATAATCAAACGCAAAGATTTAAGGAAAAAAAAAAAGAGCCTGAGTAGGTGCGCGAGCTAGCAACCCTCCACCGTCCAGCTCTGTGCGCAGTTCTCCCAAAGTCTCTTCCGCACGTCCTCTCTCCCCTGGCACTAAGCAGCCGGCACACTGGCAAAATCCGAGGCTGCCTTTTTGCACCCAGTCCAGCTATGGGCTGATTTTTAGAGTTCCCTTCTGCCAGAAGCCCTGCGGAACCCCTTTCACACTCGTGGATCACTCTGGCCCCACGGCCGCGGACTTTGTGGGGCGCAGACTTCCCCCACGCACATTCCTCTCTCCAGCCTGAATTACAAACTGCACCTTTAGGTGAAATCTGACCTTTCCATGAGGAGGAGCAGGGCTCGTCTGAGTCCATGTATTCGTGCTGCTTGAAATCCGGTGTTCCTGCGTTCGTAGCTAGTCCCTGGGTGCCATGGTTGCAGGGTCTCTGGATGTATACGCTTCTAATAACAGCCACTCAAGATGGTGCGGTCTCTGCGGCTGAGCTGGCCGTTCCGGGAGAGATTTCAGCAGCATTGGAGGCTGCCCGGTTAGGGGAGCCTGGTCCGGCAGTCTCCAACAGTCCCCTTTCTCCAGGAGTCCTCTGCCTTTCCTGGCTGCAATCTGTCAGGTGTACGATTTTTGTCCAGTCTCTTCCCGCACACCCACACTCCCCCCCTGAGAATTGTCAGTCCACTCCCTTTCTATGCCCTTGATTCTATTCTATTCATCAGTTTATTCTGTTCATCATATTTTCTATTCACTTTATTTTTAGATTCACTTGTTGATAGATATGTATTTGTTGTCACTTTGTTGTTCATAATTTTTATCTTTACCTTTTTCTTCTTCTTCCTCTTAAATACCCTTCAGCATTTCATATAATACTGGTTTGGCGGTGATGAACTCCTTTAGCTTTTATCTGTGAAGCTCTTTGTCTGACCTTCAATTCTAAATGATAGCTTTGCTGGGTAGAGTAATCTTGGTTGTAGATTCTTGCTATTCATCACTTTGAATATTTCTTGCCACTCCCTTCTGGCTTGCATAGTTTCTGTTGAGAAATCAGCTAACAGTCATATGGGTACTCCCTTGTAGGTAACTGACTTTTTTTCTCTTGCTGCTTTTAAGATTCTCTCTTTGTCTTTTGCTCTTGGCATTTTAATTATGATGTGTCTTGGTGTGGTCCTCTTTGGATTCCTTTTGTTTGGGGTTCTCTGCACTTCCTGGACTTGTAAGTCTATTTCTTTCACCAGGTAGGGGAAGTTTTCTGTCATTATTTCTTCAAATAGGTTTTCAGTATCTTGCTCTCTCTCTTCTTCTGGCACCCCTATAATTTGGATGTTGGTACGCTTGAAGTTGTCCCAGAGGTTCCTTGCACTATCTTTATATTTTTGTATTCTTTTTTTGTTTTTGCTTTTCTGGTTGGGTGTTTTTTGCTTCTTCATATTTTCAAATCTTTGACTTGATTCTTGGGATCCTCTAGTCTGTTGTTGGATCTCTGTAGGCATGTGCTCTGACTAGGAATCAAACCCACAACCTTTTGGTGTACATGACGACGCTCCAATCAATTGAGCCACTTGGAATTATTTATCTTTAAGATCATATTATTCATCTTCGGTTTTATGGTCCTTTTCAAAAATAATTACGATCATGACAAAAATATGTGAATATATTTTAAAAGAGATCTGTATTGCTTATTTTAATAGGTATACTACCATATTGCTTATCCTTTAGCCAAAAAATATGCCTTGATTAATACTTGGTAATTGAGAATATTTTTGAATTGTAAAAAGGCGCTCCATAAAATTTTTATACCTTAATTAAAAAGTCTATTTTCTTCTTTCAACAGTGTAAGACGAATGGAATGCAGGCCTTTTCTCCGGGCCTCAGCGAGCAAACGCAACATCAGTCTCCAGTTAAAAAAGGTAACTTTTTATTATAATTCCAAGATTTCATAAGAGAGTGTTAGTATTTATGTGGAGTTAATATTTGCTTTGCTGTAATAGACATTTATTATATTCTTTTGGTTGATTTCTGCCCATATTAGTCAGGCTGTAGGCTTGACTGCTCTAACGGTGAGACCATAATAACAATCGCTTAAGCAGGTAGAAGCTTATTTGTGTATCTTCTGTGTCATGTACAATTTTGAACTTCTATGACATTCCTGAAGATTTCTCCCTGGGTATGTGCAAGGTACAAACGGCCCTCCTGTGCTTCTCCTGGACTCTCGTACTCTCTGTACTCTCGGCACTTCACTTCGGACACAAGATGTGCAGTGTTTCCATGTAGCAAGCAGTTGTTTGCAATACCAGCTGGGTGTTTTATAATCCAATCTAATCCTGACACTGTAGTTCATACAGACTCCACAGGTACAGGGTTCAGTCCCACAACAGCACCCACCATTTCTTCTTTTTATTTTTAATCTTTGTTATTGAAAGTATTACATATGTCCCCTTTTTCCCTATTGACCTCTCCCAGCCTGCCCCCCCCCACCCCAGGCCTTCATCACCCTATTGTCTGTGTTCCTGGGTTATGCATATATGCATGTAAATTCATTGGTTGATCTCTTCCCACCTGCCCACCCTCCCCTGCCTTCCCTCTAAGGTTTGACAGTCTGTTTGGTGCTTCTATGTTTTTGTATCTATTTTTGTTCATCAGTTTATGTTGTTCATTAGATACCACATATGAGTGAGATCATGTGATATATGTCTTTCTCTGACTGGCTTATCTCACTTAGTATAATGCTCTCCTGTTCCACCTATGCTGTTGCAAATGGTGTGAGTTCTTTCTTTTTTATTATAGCAGCGTAGTATTTTATTGTGTAGATGTACCACAGGTTTTTAATCTACTCCTCTGCTGATGGGCATTTGGGCTGTTTCCAAATATTAGCTATTGTAAGTTGTCCTGCTATGAACATAGGGGGGCATATATCCTTTCTGATTGGTGTTTCTGATTTCTTGGGATCTATTCCTAGAAGTGGGATCACTAGATCAAATAGCAGTTCCATATTTAAGTTTTTGAGGAAACTCCATGCTATTTTCCACAGTGGCTCCACCAGTCTGCATTCCCAGTGTACCAGGGTTCCCTTTTCTCCACATCCTCACCAGCACTTGTCGTTTGTTGATTTGTTGATGGTAGTCATTCTAACAGGTGTGAAGCGATACCTCATTGTTGTTTTGATTTGCATCTCTCGGATGATTGTTACTTTGAGCATTTTTTCATATGCCTCTTAGCCTTCTGTATGCCCTCTTTGGAGAAGTGTCTATTTAGGTCCTTTGCCCATTTTGTAATTGGTTTATCTTCCTTTTGTTAAGTTGTATGAGTTCTCTATAAACTTTGGAGATTAACCCCTTATTGGATGTATCATTGGCAAATATGCTCTCCCATACAGTGGGCTACCTTGTTATTTTGTGGGAACCCTTTACTTCTGAACACACTTGCAAGTGGTAGGCCCAGCTTGCCCAGAAGGTCATCTACCTTGGCTACAAACTGCAGGTTTCTAAGACCCCCTCCTTGGATTCAGTCATTTGCTAGAACAGCTCACTTAGCATCGTCTCTTTCCTCCATTTTTCCTTGGTTACTTGGCTTACTTTTCTTGTAAGAGGAAAATTGGAAGCAAGTTTTTTGGCAGAGAAATTAGTCCTTTCTGGTCAGTTAAGGGATATCAAGAAAGCATTGAGCAGAAAAATGATCTGGAAGAGTTCTGTGTGTTATAACATTTAATCTTTAATATCTACAGAGAGAATTAAATACAGCAGAGATTTCCTGTTGAAGCTCTCCAGTGTTTCCATCTGCAGGAAAAAACCAGACTTTCTTCCTGATCATCCCATTGTACTTCAAAAACCAGTAAGTAGTTTCCTTTTCTTTAGAAGTTTTGTTTTTAATTAATTTATTGGGTGTCATTAGTTAATAAAATTTTATAGGTTTCAGGAGTACAATTCTATAATATATCATCTGTACATTGTATTGTGTGTTCACCACCCCAAGTCAGGCCTCTTTCCATCACCATCTATCCCCCCTTGCCCCTCTGATAATCACCATACTGTTGTCTGTGTATGGGGTTTTTTATATTTTGCTTATGCCCTTCACTTTTGTCATCATTCCCCTTCTCCCTCCCCTCTTAGTTTTCTAATTTTGTATAATTTTAATTCCAAAATGTTTATCTTTAATACTATCATTTTATTCACTCTCAATTTTTGTTATCATTGTGAAACATAATGCATAAAATTACATAAATGTAAATGTATAATATCACCAATTACTGTAAGTAATTAACACTCTAGTGAAGAATTAGAATGGGCTGTGGCTGGTGTGGGTCAGTGGTTAGAGCATCATCCCATGTACAGAAGGGTCTTGGGTTTGATTCCTGGTCAAGGGCACATACCTGGGTTCTAAGTTCAATCTCTGGCCTCAGATGGGGCACATGTGTCTCTCTCACATAGATGTTTCTCTCTGTGTGTGTCTCTCTCCCCATCTTTCCCTTTCTCTACCATAGCCTCCCTTCCACTCTCTCCAAAAATCAATGGAAAAATATCCTTGGGTGAGGATTAACAAAAACAAAACAAAACAAAAAAAGAATTAGAATGGAATAGTTATGTTTATTGAAAAGAGCATGACATATCTACATATATAAAAGCCTAAGTGACCAAACGACCTAACAACCATTTGACCAATCGCTATGATGCACACTGACCACCAGGGGGGCAGATGCTCAATGCAGGAGCTGCCCCCTGGTGGTCAGTGCGTTCCCATAGTGGGAGCACTGCTCAGCTGACTGAGGGGCGCCAGATGCTGGGCTCATGGCTGGCGAGCACACCTGCAGTGGTGCAAGCCTCTCTCCCACCTCCATGGCAGTGCTACTGAGCAGTGGCAGCGGCAGGTGCAGTGGGGCCAGGATGAGCGGGCACTTGGCTCCGTCTTGGGCTCCTCCCCAGCCACTTGCCGCATTGCGTACTACTACATCCCCCGAGGGGTCCTGGATAGCAAGAGGGCGCAGGCCAGGCTGAGGGACCCCACCAGTGCACAAATCCGTGCACCCGGCTTCTAGTTTTCTTATAAAACTTCTATTGGTTTGTTTTCTAATTAAGTTCTATTATCCACCTGGAATTGATTTTGCTATATAATGTGAGGTAAAAGTGTTTGTTTTTTCCCTCTCCATGGATCTTAAGTCATCCTAGCAATATTTAATGAGAGGCTAAGTCCTCTGTCATCTTAGTTTTTTATTGTGTTGTTTTTTAAATCTTTATTGTTGAGAGTATTATGGATGCCCCCTTTTTTCTCCAGTTGCCCCCCTCCACTCAGCTCAGTTTCCATTCTGCCCCAGGCCTTCACCACCCTATTGTCTGTGTCCATAGGTAATGCACATGAGTTCTTTGGTCAATCTCTTCCTATCCCTCTTTCCCCCTTCCTTCTGAGATTCATTAGTCTGTCCCATGTTTTTATGACTCTGGTTCTAGTTTATTTATCAGTTTATTTTGTTCGTTAGATTCCTTGTTTGTTTATTTTGACTTTTAGATTAAATTGTTGATAGATATGTATTTATTGCCATTTTATTGGTCATATTTTTATCTTTTTTCTCTCCTCCTCCTCCCCCTCCTCCCTCCCTCTCCTCCTCTCCTCCTCCTCCACCTCTTCCTCTTCCTCCTCCTCCTCTTCCTCCTCCTCCTCCTCTTCCTTCTCCCTCTTCTTCCTCTTCCTCTTCTTAAAGAATACCCTTTCAACATTTCATGTAATACTGGTTTGGTGGTGATGAACTCCTTTAGCTTTTTCTTGTCTGTGAAGCTCTTTATTTGACCTTTAATTCTAAATGATAGCTTTGCTGGGTAGAGTAATCTTGGTTTTAGGTTCTTACTATCCATCACTTTGACTACTACTTGCCACTCCTTTCTGGCCTTAAAAGTTCCTGTTGAGAAACCAGCTGACAGTCGTATGGGTGCTCCCTTGTAGGTAACTAACTGCTTTTCTCTTGCTGCTTTTAAGATTCTCTCTTTGTCTTTAACCCTTTGCATTTTAATTGTGATATGTCTTGGTGTGGGCCCCTTTGGGTTCCTTTTGTTTGGGACTCTCTGTGATTCCTGGACTTGTAAGTTTATTTCTTTCACTTGGTAGGGGAAGTTTTCTATCATTATTTCTTCAAATAGCTTTTAAATATCTTCCTCCCTTTCTTCTCCTTCTGGAATCCCCATAATGTGAATGTTGGTATGCTTGAAGTTGTCCCAGAGGCTCCTTACACTACTGTATCTTCATATTTTTGGATTCTTTTTCCTTATTGCTCTTCTGGTTGGTTGTTTCTTGCTTCCTCATATTCCAAATCATTGATTTGATTCTTGGCATGCTCTACTGTTGAATCCCTATAAATTATTCTTTATGCTTAATTGCTGACTGATCCTTTTTCATGTCTTTGACATTCTCACTAAGATCCTTGAAAGTCTCACTAAGTCCCTTAAAGCTTTCATAAAGATCCTTGAAACTCTAATTAATATCCTAGAGCAGTGGTTCTCAACCTTCTGGCTCTTTAAATACAGTTCCTCATGTTGTGACCCAACCATAAAATTATTTTCATTGCTACTTCATAACTGTAATGTTGCTACTGTTATGAATTGTAATGTAAACATCTGATATGCAGGATTGTCTTAGGTGACCCTGTGAAAGGGTCGTTCAACCGCCAAAGGGGTCGCGACCCACAGGTTGAGAACCACTGTCCTAGAGCATCCTTATAACCATTGTTTTGAACTCTTTACTTTGCTTGCTTCCATTTCATTTAGTTCTTTTCCTGGCGATTTCTTCTGTTCTTTAATTTGTAACATGTTTCTTTGTCTCCACATTTTGGCTGCTTTCCTGTTTGTTTCTATGTATTAGGTAGAGCTGCTATGTCTCCTGGAATTCATAGAGTGGCCTTGTTTAGTGGGTGTCCTGTAGGACCCAATGACTCAGCCTCCCCAGTCACCTAAGCTGGGCACTCTAGTTGTGCCTGTTTGTGGGCTGTGTGCACAGTCTTGTTGTAGTTGAGTCTTGATTACTTGATTCCTCACTGGGAGGAATTGATTCCCAAGCCACTTGACTTTGAGGACCAGCTGCAACTACAGTGGAAGAGCTGCTATGCAGGAGACAACCTTATGGTACAGGACTTGCTTCAGTGAGTCTGCCCCTTGAGTGCATCACTTGTGGATGTATAGAGTTGTAATCTTTTGTGGTCTGAAGCTGTCCACCAGGTGCACTGGCTCTGGGGCCTCCCAGATAATGCAAAGTCAGCCACTGCTGTCAGGCACTACAGAGTGATCTGCAGATAGCTGCTACTTGTATTGGGCTTGAAAGTACCCAAGAAAGGCCAAATTGTGAAGCAAGGCAGGCTGCTGCTAGTGCCAGGTCTTGGGCCCCTTATTGAGAGATATGGGACATGCTGAGTCCAGCTGTTGCTTGTTTGAGAGATTTTAGGAAAGTCTGAAACCTGAGCCAGGAAAGGCCATTCATATGGAAAAGCAGCTGCAAACAGCTTGGGTGAGGCTGCAAATTGGGTGGGGCGGGGTCACAGGGAATCACCAGGTGGAGCAAACAGTGTGAACCAGGTTGGTGGTGACTCAGATATGGCCCCTGCCAGTCAGCTCTGTGAGGGGGAGGTCTCAGTATAGGAACAATGAACCCCTGTCTACGAGAAAGCTGCCCCTGAGTTCTTGCCCCAATGCCAGACAGTCCAGTTTCTCTTCATATGTCCCTGGATCCCCCCAAGCCACTGCCCCAGCACTGGAGCTCAGAGGGAGTGAATCCTAGTAAGTCCTAGTGGTAGCCATTTAAGAGGAACTGCCTGGGACTCCAGCAGCCTCTGTGTCACTCAGCCACAATCCCCACTGGTTTTTATAGCCTGAAGTTACTGGGACTTCTCTTTCCAGCTCTGGAGCCCTGGCCTGAGGAGATGTGATGTGGGCCTGGGTCCCATTGTCCCTCACTGGAAGCTTCTGCAACGAAGATATTCCTCCTGATTAAAAACATGTCACATGTGGGTGTCAGACCAGCCCATTCCGCTCCTCCGCTCCTCCGCCCCGCCTACTTGTCTCGATGTGCTTTTTTCTTTACTTCTCTAGTTGTAGGACTTCCATTCAGCCAGATTTTAGGTGGTTCTGAATGATGGTGGTTCTGTATTTTATAGTATTTTTTTTGTATTGATTTCAGAGAGGAAGAAAGAGGGAGAGAGAGATTGAAACATCAATGATGAGAGAGAATCATTGATTGGCTGCCTCCTGCACACCCTCTACTGGGGATTGAGCCTACAACCTGGGCATGTGCCCTTGACGCTTTATCCACTGAGCCAAACTGGCTAGGGCTGTTCTGTATTTTAGTTGTAATTTTGATGTGGTTGTGGGAGGCAGCAATTACCACATTTACCTATGTCACAATCTCGGTTCTTTCCTCCCCCCGCCCCCCCCCCCGCCATCTTTGTGGCTACCATATGGTCTGGTCTGTTTCTGGGCCTTTTGTTCTGTTCATTTAGTTGTTGTTTTTAAAATATATTTTTTTATTGATTTCAGAGAAGACGGAGAGAGAGAGAGAAACATCAATGATGAGAGAGAATCATTGATCGGCTGCCTCCTGCATGACCCCTACTAGGGACTGCAAGCATGCAAGCTGGGCATGTGCCCTGACTAGAATTGAATCGTGGCCTCCTGGTTTAGAGGTTGACGCTCAACCACCAAGCCACACCAGTCAACCACACACATTGTCTTTTTATAGTAAAAAAAGAGTCATGCCCCTTATTCCTTTTTAGCATGTCTCTGATGTTCTTAGTCTTAATGTTCTCTGCCACCTCAACAGATTCAATCAAAATAAATACACAAACTATATTGATGGGAAGGGCATGTGTTTTGGCATCAGGCTCGGGTTACTGTGTGTACTGGTGTCCTGTTCAAACTTAGACAAGTCACTTAACCTTCCTGGGCCTCCGTTTTACAATGACAGATAAGAATGATAATCTGCACTTGTTAGCATTAAATTCCAACCATGTCGGAAGTGCTTGGGATGGTGCTTGTCTCTCATTAGGCACTCAGTAAACATGACTTTCATCTTCTATGGTCTTTACTTCCATAGTAAAGCACCTTTATTTAGAGTTTTCAGAAACACTATAATGGTAAAAATAAAAATAAAAAAGAAAGAAAAGCAACTGGGATTCAATTGAGAAGAGCTCAGAATATAGGTATGCTGAGAATGACTCAAACAGATACAGACTACCCCCCTGTGGTCTCCGGTTTTGAGATTTCTAACTCTTTATACTTCATAGCCTTTTTTTCTTAATTACAATTTTTAAAAATTTTAACTTGCTCATAATATACATCAATGTTTCTTAACTTAAAATCCCTAACTTGTACACTTCCAACCAATTCTTATTTTTAAACTTAAAGCAGGAATTTAAACTTTTTTTTTCATAATGCCTTGTACACAGGAATATTTAAAGAGGATAAGTGAAGACACTAGGGAGGCCAGGGGATTGTCAAGGGTGGGGAAAAAAGGAGACATATGTAATACTCTTTGTAATACTTTAAGCAATAAATAATTTTAAAAAAATAAAGAGGATAAGTGTCCTTAATGGTGCTTGAATTTTCCTACCTGTTCACAGACTTTAGGAACATATGATCCTTGGTCTGTACAAATGAATCTTAAACTTAAATGCTTTATAAAACTGTTATTTTTTCAATTGCAGACTTTCCATCTCTAATATTTTATTTTGTAGATAAAAGTTGAGTATGCTTATTATTTTAACCAATCCTTATACATTAGAATTGACTTTAATTTTGATATATTTATTAATAACATTTAAAAAATTAAGTACCACAAAAACAGAACAGGTTTGGAATACAATCTAATATATTTAAAAATGAATTACATATGTTCTATTAAACACAGAAGAATTGTTTTGTTATTTGACAAATTCCAGTTACTTTAATAATTTCTATAGTAACATGCATTTAGATCTGTAAACACTTAATAAAGTCACAGTATTTGGTTTGATAAACAAATTAGTAAAAACTGTTTTCATTATGTTTTTCTTTTATATTATAGGAAAACAACCAAAGTTTTAAGGAGCACTTTAAGAACAGATGAATTTGAAGATAGATAATTATTTGTTTTATGTTTTGGACACCTGCAAATGAAGTGGATCTAGTAACAATAACTGTAATGGACTGTGACAATTCAATTTATTTTTAATTTTGATGGTTGGGTATTTGGTTTCTCCTAAAATGAGAGAGAGATATTTTAAACTATAAAGAATTTTCTAATCAGTTTCAGCTTTTCAAGCACTTTCCTAAATATATTGGGAAGAAGCACTCACAAATAAAAATGTGGTTAGTGACATGGGAAGACTGTACTTATAATTTGCATGCTACTTTCAGTTTTTGTTTTTCATCACTTGTAATAATGGAATGGAAATGTAAGCTGTAAAGATTCTCAAATATAAAGAATTTGCTGCGATGTGTAGATGGCATAGACTTGTTGCTAAAGTGGCTTCTGTTTGTTTCCTGATTTCAGACCAGCACTGAGAGGGTCTCTTCAACCTGTGGCTGAGGACGCGTCTGCGCAGGGCAGGCTCAGTGACACGGGGGCATGTTTAGATCGTCTTTGCAGATAGATGTCTCCAATAACATTGTCTAAGGGTCACCGTTACCAGCAAAGGGTGACAATTTGGAAACAATAGCAGTGAACAAAACTGAAGGTGAAACGTGCTGATCAGACCCCATGAACAAAAGTAATTGCAAAACCCATTCTTATTTCCAAAGAGGAAAAATTAGGCGTTTGCAACCAGTTGAGGTGCATTAAGATTCAGTTCTGTAATTTCTTTTATTTCTTATAACAAGAATATGTATAGATGAAGAATTTGAGGGCTTAAAAACTTTTAGTTCCTGGAATTTTTATACCATCTCTTGGAATTTGTCACTCTGGGTATGACTTCTAGTCCTAAAGGTTCACTCCAGCACAGTGCCAAACAGTATCACTGACAGAAAGGTAAGTGCAAACTTCCCCGACTCCGGTTCTCTCAGAAGCTCTCATCTTCGGGGCTGCTGGGTGGCATGGAAGGCCGTCATTTGGCAGGAAGGTTTAGGTTGAATCCTCAACTCCTAACAACAGGACATTTCTGTTCACTGGCCTCTGGGCTTGTTACCAGATTAAAGCTTTAAGTCCATGTAGGTCTCCCTCCTTGGTCTCTCAGTATCCATCACACTTTTCATGGCTTTGTTCCCCAGAAAAGTAAGTAGATTAAGTTTTAAATAGAGAAAACTTCATTAAGCATACATTTATTGGTCACTTTAAATTAGATAGTAATCCCCAGGCCATTTCCCCTACTATTTGCCCTTATATTATAGGTTCCCTTATATAGATGTGTGTAAATAAATACACAGATGCTCTCTCACACAAAAATAGATGTATAATCTGTGTAAGAGCTCTTTATTTTCTGCCTATTCTCAAGGTATTTTAATTCTAGTTAACAAGACAATAGGAATGATTCCAATTTGGAACCTGCAGGGCCCTTCCGCCTGGCGTTGCTGTAAGGGCAGCACCTCCCAGTCACGCTGCCAATCTCCGTGGGGAACTGCCTCATCCCCAAAGGTGGAGTGCACCTTCTGAGTCTGACACTGACATGGACTGGCCAGAATAACACTGCTATTGGCTGTAGTTTATATTTTGAAAACATTTATAATCTGTGTTTCAAGAAGAGTTTGTGTGTCAACAGTCCCCTGGGTTTCCATCTCTTCCTCCTTTGTTACTGTATATAATCAGAGCAAAGATGTTTATTATCTGCATATCTTGTACATGTGTATGGTTTGAATAGTCACTGTAGGTGTCCATTATCCATGGATATTCTTTGCTAGGTAGATAAGGGAAACGTTGAGCCAGGGGTTTTCCTTAGTGTTTCTCCTCGTTAGAAGTGACCTGAGACACATGCATGTAGTTGTGTGTGCATTATGTCAGCATTTATGACCTATGTCTAGGTAGATCCTATGACAAAATCTTTTATTTGGATTGAATGAGGACTGTGGGTATACAAAGGTATTGATAAAAGTTAATACTCCATGAATCAGTTTGAGAAAATATTTTAGGTTTTATATTTAATTTTTTTGTGTGTGTGTTCAGGCTTCCTTTTTTTCTGAATTTTCCAACAGGAAAAACAAACAAACAAACAAACAAAAAAAAAAACCAGGAAAAACTTACCTCACAGTTTTTTCCTGGAAGACCTGTGGTTTCAAAGGAATTTGGACTACAGAATAGTATAGTAGCAAATTTCTATACACATTATATTTTCATTAGCAACATTTATCATCAAAAGAGATTTTACTATGAAAAATATTTAACTTATGAGCTTAGACAGTGGAGCGTCTGAGGCGTTGGCAGTGGGACTGGGTTGTGGTCATTCCGCTGTGAATCTGGAAACTATCTGTGCAGCACCTGCCCTATTTTATAATTTCCCTAAAATTGGTGCTTGTGCTATATTCCTTCTTTGTTTACTTAGATTAAAAAATGTTTAAAGTATTTTGAAATAGAAATGTCTACTTTTCATTAGGAAATTTAGCCCTCTGGATCATAATGCCATAAGCTATGAACCAGGTTTTCTCAAAGTTAAACTCTCTCTCCATTTTTCTTGATTTGTTTGACTTATATCCAAGGAATTATGATGCTAATAAATTACATAATGATGTCACATTAATAAATGGTACCTGTCACAGAACTGTTCACTTGGGAAAAAGCAGTTTATACTCTGATACATAAAGATTCTGCAGGTTTCAGCCAATGTGGTTTTGTGCAAAGTTATGTTAACTTTTTTTATGATTAAACAACAGAAACATTTTCTTTCAGGTCTAGAGACTACAAGTCCAAGCTCAGGGCTCTGGCTGGTTGGTTCTCCTGTGGCCCCTCTTCTGTGTGTGCAGTTGGCTGCTTCCGTGACCCCATATGACCATTTCTCTCACTGTCTCTCTCTCTCTCTGTGTGTACATAAGGGCACCAGTTATATTGGATAATGTACCAATTTTTAAAATAAGAAAAAAATGAATAGCACTAAGAGTAGGCATTATCTGTATACCTAAAAGCCTAAGCGACTGTGCGATTATTCTACCAGTAGCTATGACATGCACTGACCACCAGGGGGCAGACACTCAATGCACAGGCAGGGAAACATGGAACAGACTGATGAATCTCAGAGGGAAAGGGGGAGGGGGGAGGGTGGGAAGAGATTAACCAAAGATCTTATTAGTGCACCGGTGGGGTCCCTCGGCCTGGCCTATGCCCTCTAGAAGTTCAGGACTCCTCGAGGGATGTGAGAGGCTCAGTGCACAAATTTGGCCTGATCCCCACAGGCCTCTAGTAGAAGAATAAACTTCATTCACAGAAATCAGTTACTTAAAAATCACAAAACACTGGTTTAACCTTTATAGTTTATGGCAAATCTACAAATCTATGAAGTAATATTCTAAAAGTTCACATTTTCAATATTTTCTTTATCAGTTTCTTTTTCACAATTTTGTTTCTCTAAGTGTACACTTTTTTCACATATTAGAATTTTATGACTAAAGGGTTTGGGGATATAGTATAGCAAATCAGTAAATGTAGAGAGTAACTGAACTTTGAAAATTAAGCTAAATTTTACAAGAAAGATAGTTACAAAGATAAGACATTTAAGAACAGTGTTCATCTTAGAGTAAATATAGAAAAAGAATAGAGTAAATGAATAACTAAAGAGAAGTTGTAATTCACATTTTGATTGACATGTGGTTTGTACTTGGACCACAAAGAGGTGTGGAAACATCTAGCTGCTGTTCAGGACCCACCACGATGCTGAAAATAGAAAAACAGGTTTTAAATTATAAAAATCGCTGCCAGGTGAGGTAAGTTCAAGGTGCAAATAATTCGAGACCATTTCCCCAACTTCAGTCTGCATAACGGCTAACCTTTCTCAGTCACTAATTCCTAACTTTCTGAGCCAAGATTGAGTTCTTTCTATGCAGCTGCTGTTCGTACCGTATCTTCTGGCAGCTGATCACAGTCTGACTGAAAGTTTTTGTTGAATAGAGTTTGGCAATGAGATCATAAGTGCCCTGTAGATAAAATTGTGTTATTGTTTTAATCTATTTTTATATACCAATTTTGGTGTATATAATATACTTTTGTATACCAATATGTTTTTATATGTCAATTTTCAAAGATTGCATATAAGTTGGTGTGTCCTAAATAATGCTTTTTAGTATATGTCTACATTGTAAAATTGGAAATGTTTTCCTAGTGAGTATAAATATCCCAATGACAAACATATAGCAAAGAAGTAACACCGGTGGAATGCTTGAAGAAACAGACAAATGAAAAGGATTCTCATTTATTTCCAAAGCTCTTTTCCATAACCACAGGCCTTTCTCCTTTGCCAGGGAATATTTTGCTCCACAGACTGAATGCCCATTCTCTGTTTGCTTGGGTGATGAATGATGTTTAGTGGGCTGCTGTTTCATTTGAATGCTTTTTATGTTTCAGAGTTCATAGCGATATGTTTTGGTTTGTATTTTTATATCTGGATGCTGGCTTGTTTAGTTGCTTTATTTCTTAAGCTCTATCTTAGATAAACTACTAAGAAATCTTAAAAAATCTTATTAGAAATCATAATTTGTGATTATAAATATAAAACTACTGCCCTGACCGGTTTGGCTCAGTGGATAGAGCATCGGCCTGCGGACTCAAGGGTCCCAGGTTCGATTCCAGTCAAGGGCATGTACCTTGGATGCGGGCACATCCCCAGTAAGGGGTGTGCAGGAGGCAGCTGATCGATGTTTCTCGCTGATCGATGTTTCTAACTTTCCCTCTCCCTTCCTCTCTGTAAAAAATCAATAAAAAATATATATATTTTAAAAATATATATAAAACTACAAAAAATAGCATTTTTTCATATTTTAAATTTAGGTCTAAACATGTACAGCTAAAATGTTTTTAATTTTTATTTTTAGCCTTCAGAGCTGTATAACACACACAATGCACAACACTAGTTATTAAAAATATTAGAAGTCATCTGACCACTAAAACCATAAATAATATTTATAAGCTAATTCCAGGTTTTTGTTCCAGGAGGTGTGTTTTATAAGACTTTTACTTTATAATAAAGTCAGGTACCATGATATATGTTAAAATCTTGTGAGAGATAGGTTTAAAAAAATTGCATTAGAAATCAGGCCTAACTTTTCTTTCTGTCCCGTCAAATTCCAGTGGTCATTGTTGAAATTAGATGTTATATGAAAATTAATGCAAAATAGGGTTAGCAATTAAAAGGCATTGCATTGTATTGAATTTGGGCTCTGAGAACAGGAAATGATCCAGTTTTATACACACTCAATTCTTCTAAATTAGGAACTGCTCTGAGAGGAAGAGCAAGATAATGCATGTGCTAACAATAGTAGGGAGGGGGAGGACAGTGAAAGGGTGAGGACTACGCCCTCCATCTTGTCCCAGGGTAAAGGCTATGCCCTCCATCTTACCCTGGATCCTCCATTTTTGGGCAGCCATGTGCTCGGCAAGGCTTCTTCCCCGAAGCCCAAGCCTCTGCTAGCCACACCCAGGACTTCTTTAAACTAACCAATGACAATCAAGGGAAGTGCGCACCATAGATATGACCACATCCTGTGTAACAAGACACCGACTTGCGCCTGGCCAATCGGCAGGGCTCACAGCCCTTTCTCCTCCCCTTACTCCAACCCCCTATAAAACCCTTCTCCCCCACAGGGCTAGCTCTCTCTGCCACTTGCTGCTGCATCAATAGGAGGGTAGGGGAGCCAAGCCGGGGCTTGAATAAAGACTCTTATGCTTTTGCGTCAGACACGGCTGGCTCCCTGGTGTGGTTTCTTGGGGATCCTGAAATCTGGACATAACATTTGGGGGCTCGTCCGGGATCCCCAAGACCCTCGAGGGACCCCGAATCCAGTGAGTCTGACTAACCGCGGTAAGTGTGTGTTGTGTATTCTGTTCTGTGTGTT